TCTTATCCTTGACTAGATATGGACTCCATGCTGCGGCTGCATACTCCAGGATTGGCCTGACATATGTGGTATATAAAGTTCGAATGATTCTTGACACAAGTTTCTGAATGCCGTTCGTATGTTGGCCAGCCTGGCATATGCCGCTGATGTTATCCGCTTGATATGTGCTGCAAGAGACAGGTCTGGCGTGATATCAACCCCAAGTCTTTTTCCTTATCTGACTCCTGAAGAATTTCCTCTCCCAGATGATAACCCTTGTATCTGGCCTCCCTACACCTATCTTCATTACATTACATTTGGTTGGGTTCAACTCTAACAACCATTTGTTCGAACAATTCCTTCAGCTTGTCTAGGTCTTTCTTGAAGCCTCAAACAGTCCTCTTCTGTTTTAATCCTTCCATAATTTTAGCATCGTCCGCAAAACATTGAGAGAAATGAATCGATACCCTCCGGGAGATCATTTACATATATCAGAAACAAGATAGGACGAGCACAGAGCCCTGTGGGACCCCACTGGTGACTTCACGCCAATCGGAGGTCTCACCCTCACCGTAACACACCGTAACACACACACAACCCTGTGTGTATGGTGTGTGTGTGGGTGTGTGTGTGTGTGTGTGTGTGTGTGTGTGTGTGTGTGTGTGTGTGTACTCACCTATTTACTCACCTATTTGTGCTTGCGGGGGTTGAGCTTCGGCTCTTGGTCCCGCTCTCAATTGTCAATCAAATGGTTATACAGATTTCTGAGCCTACTGGGCTCTATCATATCTACATTTTAAAACTGTGTATGGAGTCAGCCTCCACCACATCACTGCCTAATACATTCCATCCGTTAACTACTGTGACACTGAAAGTTCATTCTAACGTCTCTGTGGCTCATGTGGGTACTCAGTTTCCACCTGTGTTCCCTTGTTCGCGTCCCACCAGTGTTGAATAGTTTATCCTTGTTTACCCGGTCGATTCCCCTGAGGATTTTGTAGGTTGTGATCATGTCTTCCCTTACTCTTCTGTCTTCCAGTGTCGTAAGGTGCATTTCCCGCAGCCTTTCCTCGTAACTCATGCCTCTTAGTTCTGGGACTAATCTAGTGGTATACCTTTGGACTTTTTCCAGCTTCGTCCTGTGCTTGACAAGGTACGGGCTCCATGCTGGGGCCGCATACTCCAGGATTGGTCTTACATATGTGGTGTACAAGATTTTGAATGATTCCTTACACAGGTTCTTGAACGCCGTTCTGATGTTAGCCAGCCTCGCATATGCCGCAGACGTTATTCTTTTTATGTGGGCTTCAGGAGACAGGTTTGGTGTGATATCAACTCCTAGATCTTTCTCTCTGTTCGTTTCATTAAGTACTTCATCTCCTATTCTGTATCCTGTGTCTGGCCTGTTTCTACTGCCTAGTTTCATTACTTTGCATTTACTCGAGTTGAACTTCAACAGCCATTTGTTGGACCATTCACTCAGTCTGTCTAGGTCATCTTGTAGCCTCCTACTATCGTCCTCTGTTTCAATCCTCCTCATAATTTTCGCATCATCGGCAAACATTGAGAGAAATGATTCTATACCCTCTGGGAGATCATTTACATATATCAGAAACAGTATAGGTCCAAGGACTGAGTCTCCCTCCGCCCTCAGCTCGTTGTGTGTGTGTGTGTGAGACTGGTGTCATGCACAGCACGGTGGTACAGGGTACAGTACAGTCACTCCAACCACAGCACTGGTGACAGGTGTCATGCACAGGACGGTGGTACAGGTGTACAGTCACTTCAACCACAGTGGTGACAGGTGTCATGCACAGGACGGTGGTACAGACTGGTGTCATGCACAGCACGGTGGTACAGGTGTACAGTCACTCCAACCACAGCTGGTGACAGGTGTCATGCACAGGACGGTGGTACAGGTGTACAGTCACTTCAACCACAGCTGGTGACAGGTGTCATGCACAGGACGGTGGTACAGGTGTACAGTCACACCAACCACAGCTGGTGACTGGTGTCTGACACAGCACGGTGGTACAGGTGTACAGTGAAAGGATCACACATGGTGATAAGACTCACAAAAACCCTGACTATACATGGTATCAGGTTAGCACACAGTGTGGTGGCACAGGTGGACACAATGGGCCAGATGTGGCTCGTTCAAGTGAGAAGCCGTTGGCAATGCTGTCACGTGACAGCTTAAGATTGCAACCCGTTCTCGCAAATTTAATAAGTCAATATTGACTTATTAAATATGTGCATAGGTGACATACTTAACATAATAGATACCCTTAAAAAGATTCATAGAAAACACCGACCTTACCTAACCTACTTAGTATGTTAAGATAAGCATCTTATTGCTTCGTAATTACAATTATTACCTAACCTATAATAGGTATAGGTTAAGTAATAATTGTAATTACGAAGCAATAAGATGCTTATCTTAAGATACTAACAAGGTTAGGTAAGGTCGGTGTTTTCTATGAATCTTTTTAAGGGTATCTATTATGTTTAGTGGCAGGAGACTCGTCACTCACGGTACTGTGAGGGCGGCTAGTGTGGTCACTGACACATGGGTCGGGAGACTCGTCACTCACGGTACTGTGAGGGCGGCTAGTGTGGTCACTGACACATGGGTCGGGAGACTCGTCACTCACGGTACTGTGAGGGCGGCTAGTGTGGTCACTGACACATGGGTCGGGAGACTCGTCACTCACGGTACTGTGAGGGCGGCTAGTGTGGTCACTGACACATGGGTCGGGAGACTCGTCACTCACGGCACGGTGAGGGCGGCTAGTGTGGTCACTGACACATGGGGCGGGAGACTGGTCACTCACGGTACTGTGAGGGCGGCTAGTGTGGTCACTGACACATGGGTCGGGAGACTCGTCACTCACGGCACGGTGAGGGCGGCTAGTGTGGTCACTGACACATGGGTCGGGAGACTGGTCACTCACGGCACGGTGAGGGCGGCTAGTGTAGTCACTGACACATGGGGCGGGAGACTGGTCACTCACGGCACGGTGAGGGCGGCTAGTGTGGTCACTGACACATGGGGCGGGAGACTCGTCACTCACGGCACTGTGAGTGCGGCTAGTGTGGTCACTGACACATGGGTCGGGAGACTCGTCACTCACGGCACTGTGAGTGCGGCTAGTGTGGTCACTGACACATGGGTCGGGAGACTGGTCACTCACGGCACTGTGAGGGCGGCTAGTGTGGTCACTGACACATGGGTCGGGAGGCAATTGTACTCGATGTATATCACTTTGATCACCTTCCCAGCTGTTATAGTACACTGATTTAAGACATTCTCAGAAACTCTGGCTGCAGTCTGTTATCTCTGTTAGTGATGACGGGGTGTTACTCAATTTCTCTATACATCAAGTTAACTCAGAAAATCGTATTCAATTCTCATTTACTGCAACCTGATTCAGTAGACAGTCATGTTGCATGAAATTGAGACTTATCGAGTGACTTTTGCTTTTAGAGAATGTTGTGGGTTGATCACGTTACTGACTAATTAACATGATTGATACACGTCCATTCAAGACGAACTCTGAAATCAAAATGGCTTTGTGAGGCTCTAGGTGGGGTCTACCAGCTTACCCATCGGTACAACAGTCCAATTTATGGGTTGACAAATTGGACAAAAAGCAATGGCGCCTAAACTAATGAGAAGCGGTTACCCTCTCCTGCTAGGTATATGCCATCATGGATACAGCATGACTGAGGCCTATGGTTGTTAGCGAATTCAAGACGGTCGACGCTAGACTCTCAACTTCTTAACCACAGACTTGAAAAACGTTCTCTCTGTTTCCTTCCAACGTTGAAGCTCCATGACATGACTTGCGATGTATAAATGTTCAACTGACTCTAATTAGTTGAGAGACTATGTATACAATGGCCAATACAGTACCTGTGATCCACTGATTATGTGGGCTTTCCGGAGATAGCCAGTAAGGCAGACCTAAGTCCACAATTCAAGAATCTAGACCAGTGGATCGAATCACTGTGCCCGTTATATCACACTTTCGTACTTACTCTCGTGCAATAACATGTACAACAACCATTCGGCTGCGCATCCCATCAGGTGATAGGGTGGCAAAATATACTCAAACTGCGCATCCCGTCAGGTGAAGTATTAGGGTACCGCATAAGATTTAAAAGCCTTACTCATACATGGGATTCATATTTGCTTCCTCGGGCCTCCAATAACCATCCCACATCAATAAAAATATACCAAGTTCCTCACTTTTCCTTCTTAGGGCCTGAGTAAAAAGGTGAAGATCACGTCTGGGATGTAACAGGGGCCAGTCTTTAACCTCTCTTATCCTGGGTAAATGATGGTCGTTATGATATGTTCTATTTAACCCGAAGTTCTCAATGTAACCTTCAGTCCAAATCCTCGAATCTAAAACGTTATCGCTTAGGTATTAAACGACACGAAGACATTGTACCTTATATGCTACATTGCATAGAAATAAGCAATAAGATGCTTATCTTAAGATACTAACAAGGTTAGGTAAGGTCGGTGTTTTCTATGAATCTTTTTAAGGGTATCTATTATGTTTAGTGGCAGGAGACTCGTCACTCACGGTACTGTGAGGGCGGCTAGTGTGGTCACTGACACATGGGTCGGGAGACTCGTCACTCACGGTACTGTGAGGGCGGCTAGTGTGGTCACTGACACATGGGTCGGGAGACTCGTCACTCACGGTACTGTGAGGGCGGCTAGTGTGGTCACTGACACATGGGTCGGGAGACTCGTCACTCACGGTACTGTGAGGGCGGCTAGTGTGGTCACTGACACATGGGTCGGGAGACTCGTCACTCACGGCACGGTGAGGGCGGCTAGTGTGGTCACTGACACATGGGTCGAGAGACTCGTCACTCACGGTACTGTGAGGGCGGCTAGTGTGGTCACTGACACATGGGTCGAGAGACTCGTCACTCACGGCACGGTGAGGGCGGCTAGTGTGGTCACTGACACATGGGTCGAGAGACTCGTCACTCACGGCACGGTGAGGGCGGTTAGTGTGGTCACTGACACATGGGGCGGGAGACTGGTCACTCACGGCACGGTGAGTGCGGCTAGTGTGGTCACTGACACATGGGTCGGGAGACTCGTCACTCACGGCACTGTGAGTGCGGCTAGTGTGGTCACTGACACATGGGTCGGGAGACTCGTCACTCACGGCACTGTGAGTGCGGCTAGTGTGGTCACTGACACATGGGTCGGGAGACTCGTCACTCACGGCACTGTGAGTGCGACTAGGGTGGTCACTGACACATGGGTCGGGAGACTGGTCACTCACGGCACTGTGAGGGCGGCTAGTGTGGTCACTGACACATGGGTCGGGAGGCAATTGTACTCGATGTATATCACTTTGATCACCTTCCCAGCTGTTATAGTACACTGATTTAAGACATTCTCAGAAACTCTGGCTGCAGTCTGTTATCTCTGTTAGTGATGACGGGGTGTTACTCAATTTCTCTATACATCAAGTTAACTCAGAAAATCGTATTCAATTCTCATTTACTGCAACCTGATTCAGTAGACAGTCATGTTGCATGAAATTGAGACTTATCGAGTGACTTTTGCTTTTAGAGAATGTTGTGGGTTGATCACGTTACTGACTAATTAACATGATTGATACACGTCCATTCAAGACGAACTCTGAAATCAAAATGGCTTTGTGAGGCTCTAGGTGGGGTCTACCAGCTTACCCATCGGTACAACAGTCCAATTTATGGGTTGACAAATTGGACAAAAAGCAATGGCGCCTAAACTAATGAGAAGCGGTTACCCTCTCCTGCTAGGTATATGCCATCATGGATACAGCATGACTGAGGCCTATGATTGTTAGCGAATTCAAGACGGTCGACGCTAGACTCTCAACTTCTTAACCACAGACTTGAAAAACGTTCTCTCTGTTTCCTTCCAACGTTGAAGCTCCATGACATGACTTGCGATGTATAAATGTTCAACTGACTCTAATTAGTTGAGAGACTATGTATACAATGGCCAATACAGTACCTGTGATCCACTGATTATGTGGGCTTTCCGGAGATAGCCAGTAAGGCAGACCTAAGTCCACAATTCAAGAATCTAGACCAGTGGATCGAATCACTGTGCCCGTTATATCACACTTTCGTACTTACTCTCGTGCAATAACATGTACAACAACCATTCGGCTGCGCATCCCATCAGGTGATAGGGTGGCAAAATATACTCAAACTGCGCATCCCGTCAGGTGAAGTATTAGGGTACCGCATAAGATTTAAAGCCTTACTCATACATGGGATTCATATTTGCTTCCTCGGGCCTCCAATAACCATCCCACATCAATAAAAATATACCAAGTTCCTCACTTTTCCTTCTTAGGGCCTGAGTAAAAAGGTGAAGATCACGTCTGGGATGTAACAGGGGCCAGTCTTTAACCTCTCTTATCCTGGGTAAATGATGGTCGTTATGATATGTTCTATTTAACCCGAAGTTCTCAATGTAACCTTCAGTCCAAATCCTCGAATCTAAAACGTTATCGCTTAGGTATTAAACGACACGAAGACATTGTACCTTCTATGCTACATTGCAATCAATTAAACATTACTACTAAGAAAGTCGATCCCTAATTACTTGAATAGGGGGGGGGGGGATGAGATTTACACAAGTGTGGTTTAAATCAAAGCACAAAGGGATTATTTGAGGTATTACATAAATGCTTGCAGGTTTACAGAGGGTGGCTAGCCTAAAGCATGGAGGATCTTGAGCCCAACAACAGAATATAAAATATGCATAGGGAAAATTCCACTAAACACTATAAATTCTAACCATAATTTATCAAATTACTTTGTTTATCAATGAAAATAAAAGAACACTTCCCTATCTGAACACTTCCAAACTAAATTATATTCTAACTGAACTTCTTCCAAAACTGGAGGCAACGGTTATGTACTACAACATAATGTGGAATATAATAACTGCACAAAACTACAAGATAACACACTTTTACCTTAAATACCACAAACAGGCCTTAAATGTATATAATTGTATGCATAAATAAATGTTGTATGTGTATATTTTTCTAGCTGTCTTAATGTGTGTTCAGTGAGTGCACAGTGACAGTTGAACTCTCACGAGTGCACAAAGTGTGTACATCAAGTCGAGTATTGTTAATACAAGACTCAGCTATTCCTTGTTGGATATCATTCGATAGCTCATGTCAACAGGAAACAATTGCTATCGTGAAGTCCGTCGTGTGCCAAACCATTTAATAATTACAGCAAGGTGGAGTATTTAAACAATTAGTTAACACCCAGAATCAGGGTCAAGTGGTACTTTTGAGTGTCATGGTCAGGAAAGGGCCAGGATGGAACAACTGTCCCTTGTGTGACTAGTCCTCTTCCGTGACTTAGTAATGACGTCACGGCTCCTCGCCACACAGAGAGGACTGCTTTGATTTGATAGACCTCAGGGCCTGGTGCCTGATTGGCTGGTTTCATATATCTAGGAGGAGTGTGGAAGGGAGTCAAGGAGCACCCTTCCCAATGCTGCCCTCCTCTTTCCGAAGGAGTCACCAAGTACATAAGATGTATGAAGTCTTCGCTGCCAGCCATAGCTCGACTTTACCGCCTAACATAACTTTTATTGATATCTCGTTATCCGTCTAATTTCATCTAGCCTGATTCACTGCAGAATCTAGTTCACAATAGTTGAGATTTATCTTAGATACGACTAAATTAATTAATTAATAAATTTATTAAGAAGAGAGAGAGAAAAGAGCCCACCACGTGATCACCTCATAAGCAATGTGACTGCCTAGTGTTACAGTCCGGGATTATCATGAGCATCTGTGAGCTTATTGCCACGAGGGAAGAGTTAGAGAGAATATCATTGACTCCCCATTGCTGCTCTTAGTTTATCGGAGGGAGATAACTGTATTTACGACTATTTTGTGGTCTTAGTGGTTTACCCGCCAACTCCGTGCCGCCCACCCCAAGGGTTTAGCACTCGCCATTACCACCCCTGTGTGTAGCTGCCGCCCGCCACCCAGCTGTGGTCGCCATGCAAAATCACAGTGCACCTGTTCTATCAGCCTGCACCTGCCATCTAGTGTAACTAACGTGTTACTTGCATGGTAACCAGGTGCAGTCATTGCTTGAGTTGTCTACACCTGCCACCCTGTGTTTGGTTGTTACTCGTATGTTACAACGTGCAGAGATTGCTGGAGTATTTCATCAGAACATCTACAGTTCCACTTTCTATGTATGCAAGATGTGAGTGACAAGGCCGGTCTTCAAAGTGACTACAAATATTTATCTTGTTCTTATAGTGTTTCCTTGTGTTGATCTAGGATCAACCGTCCAACCCGCAGTTATCTAGTTTTCACCTGTAACAGGTGAAAGTTAAACCGGTCGTGGAGACAATTAGCCAGTTGTCGGTACAGCCATCTGAGTTATACTGTATCTATCACTGTCTTGAGTATAAGTGTTATACACACGAAAACACATTTAGTATTTGTTATATTTTTGTGCATTTAAGTTGTACGGTGTTATTATTATTAATAAACACTTTAATGCGCGCGGGCCCCGTGAAAAAAAATAGCGCATTGTGGCGTTTTGGGCTCTTGAGCGTAAACACCAAAAAGTGTGTAATCTTTTCACTCTCCTGACACCAATTCTCAAGCTACGTATTTCATTTTGGTATCAATGTGTTGGCAATAAAATTCTCTACAAGATCATATGTATAACATGTCACCAAAGCATTAGCTATCCCACCACGAAATAAATAAAACGTAGATCACTCGCCGTGACGCCCAAACAGCAACAAAATGTTCATACTCTTTTGTTTGTTGTCAGCTCCACATTAGTCCTACAGCGTTGTATTTTATATCACTGAACTCGCAATAAAATTCCCTACACAGACATATGCATATAAATGTAGAATCATGATCGCGGCCCACACCAAGAGTGTGTGAAGTGGGCGATTACCCTCGTTGTGTCAACAACTCAATAGTCTCTCCTCTAAGTTAGAATACAAAGCCGTTTTCTCAAATAGGCCATGTGCCTATTAGAGAAAACGAAAATTTAATGGCAAACAATTTCATACTAACCCCAAGTCGATCGAATAAGACTTGGACTTTATATGTTGTTTTTATTAGATCGGCCGGCTATTTACGGCGCGGGCGCGGAACCCGTTAGCAGAGTGGGCAGTATATTTACGGTCCGGTTGCATCAAAGTGTTAGTTAATTCATTAATAGTGATTTATGTGTCAATGTTGTAGCTTGCATTTTATCCACTCAAGACATCAGTGGAAGAGTAAGTCATTGAGTGTTGTGTCTAGGTCAGACCTGTTTATTATTATATTGTTACTCATTGATTATTGAGTTATGTTATATCGCAGTGTTGTACTTGTATGTTAGCATACAGTGTTGAGTATAATTATTCATCTTGGTTATCTGTCTTGGTGACAGAAGATTTAACATAAAGTAGTAATTAAATTATTCGTTGATTTGTTATTATCTGTGTGACAGAGTGTTTATGTAATTATTTAATTATTAGGAGGTTTGTTTTAGTGACAAGTGTTACATTGTTTTAATGTTATTGTTATAATATTATGATTGTTGATTTCCACTGCGAGAGTTGAGTTCAGTTTAGTTTGATTGTGCACTAGTGTTCAGTTAGTTCACTTTGTTCTTTCTTGCCCTAGCTAGAGGGCCAGAGACTAGGTCTCCTGATTATCAGACAGAGTGGTGTGACTGTGTCCTGCTGCAGCTGTTATTGTTTATCTGTTGGAGTGACTCTCGGAAATTAACGTAATGTAAAGTTGTAACTGCTGTCTATTAGTGAGTAAGTTGTTGAATAAATTGTTATTGTTTTAAAAATGTCATTTGGCCACCTTCATCAGTACCTTTGATGAGTACTGCCCCGTTATTTTGCTTTGTACAGCTACTTCTAAAATCTTTTATTTAACAGGTTTAAACTCTGGGATCAAACCCACAGCTTTAAGCACCAAATACAAAATTTTGTGTGAGAACCTATTTGCTACCCTCTAAACTGCTCATGCAATTGAGGAGCTTACGATCTAGTGATTGGAGGAACAAGAAGTTGAACCTCTGTATTTGCTCTCGCCTTCCCAAGTTAGGTACTTTCAGATCGGGCACCCACTCTGGGGCTAAGAAGTGTTGCTTTAATTAGACAACACTGGTTTTATCTGGCGCCCAACGTGGGGCTGGTAGGGCAGTCAAAGGATATACTTTCACAGTCTGTACATACGTATATTTACAAAGCAATACATAATGAACACTATCTTTGATACATCAATACAACCTGACTGCCTAAGTTATTCTAAAGTTATAGCTAAACCACAGTAGGTAGAAACTTTTAACGTCAACTTTTGTGCTTCTTGAATGCTAATTAATAATGCCAGGAGAGAGAAATATTCAGATTTTTTTGTGCACTACAAGCTAGTTAGCTATTACTGCAGGGCAGCCAAGGGGGGTAAGACAATTGTGAAATCCCATTCATTCACAGTTGGTTTAACAGGAATCCCTGTTGATGCTTATAATCCAAATTTATATTCGGAAAATATTCACTAATATCAATCTCTCTAAAATCTAACAGAGAATACATGTTAGCAATACCGGTCTCTAGTTAAGTGGCTTCTATCTTTTCCCTTTCTTGTATGTAGGTACCACATTTTCCACTTTCCAAATATCAGGCTGTTCGGCCACTTCACGTAAGGCGATGAAGACTATAGCAATGTAACCCGGGTAGGGTTTTCTCAAATTATCTTTCCTTCTTCTCCCCCTCTACCCGTATTCTTACTTTTTATTTCTCTACAAGGGACTCCAAAACTTTTACTAAAGCCGACTCCACGCCACGTGGTCCTAAGACGATTGACCGACTTAGGATTCTACAACCCGTATGACGTGACATAGACTTTGAGCAAAACCCTAGAGTCGCCTCCGCCGCCACCACCAGACCAGTAACACAGAGCAATGATCGAGGTCTGGATCGATCATGCTAATTAATCAACCTTGGGGCTTGATCCCGACTAGTAACCGATGACCTTGGAAACTTAGTGTGGAATTAATTACACGGTAAAGATGACTTCTGATTTGGTGTTAGAATCGGCGCCCAATCCAACTCTGCCTCGTGTGGACCACGTGACCAGGACAAGTTCACATA